GGAACTGCCCCATCCCCCCGCCTTGGGGATTGGAACTGTCCCCATCCCTTGGGGAATGGAACTGCACCCCCCTGCCTTGGGGATTGGAACTGCACCCCCTGCCTTGGGGATTGGAACTGTCCCCACCCTTGGAGATTGGAACTGTCCCCCACTTCCTGGGGATTGGAACTGCCGGCCACTGCCTTGGGGATTGGAACAGTCCCACCCCCAGGGGGTTTTGGAACTGCCCCCCCCGCCGCCTTGGGGATTGGAACTGCCCCCCCGCCTTGGGGATTGGAACTGTCCCACCCCTAGGGGGTATTGGATGACCCTCCAGTGTTTGAACTGTGTTTCCCTCAGTTATTGAGATGTGTATCCCATTTTGTACTGTAACTATACCTCCCCCAGAACTGTACCTGTAGTCCCTCTAACATTGTGACTGTACACTTCTCAGTTTTGAGAATGTAGCCTGTTTGCTGTTATGACTCTATCACCCTCTTGTACTGTGTGTGTTTACACCTCCCACCTCAGACACTGTGACTGTATCTGCCCATTGATACTGTGTCTATCTGCCATTCAGAAGCCATTCCATTCCAGATGTTATTGAATATTTTCTGTTCTGTGTGATATAAATAATAATAGCCCCAGCCAGAGAGAGAGATGGGCCAGTAAATATGACAAAGTATTAATGTTGAGATAACACCGTGTGGAGCTGGAGGAACACAGCAGGCCAGGCAGCATCAGAGGGGCAGGAAAGTTTCCAAAGAGTTAATTTTTTTTTCTGTGCGAAAGCCTAATTACTTTATGTTGTTTATTAACCTCATGTCAATGGAACAGATGGATTTCTGTTCCTGAGCGTCAGCTCCCCACTACTGAACAAAGAATTAATTCCTGTCATTCTGTGCTATTATCTGTCAAACATGGCTGATTAACTCGTGCATAAGCAGGGCATTTAACTGGGTGAGCAAGCATTCACGGTGCAGGGACTGAGTGCACTCCTATATCACAGACACCAGCACAAACACTGTCTGCTCAGAATTCAATTGGATCCAGTGGGAGGGATTCTCTGTGCCAATGCGGACCCTCCAGCCCCATGGGGGCAGGATCAGTCAGTCATATAAGAGAATAAGAATCAGCAGAAGGACTGGGCCATCTGGCCCCTCGAGCCTGCTCCACAATTCAATAGGATCATGGCTGATCTTTTAATGGATTCAGCTCCCAATTACTTATTCACTCACCGTAACCCTTAATTCCTTTACTGTATCTGTCTTTGCCTTAAAAACATTCAATGAGGAAGCCTCAACTGCTTCACTTGGGCAGGGAATTCCACAGATTCATAACCCTTTCGGTGAAGATGTTCCTCCTCAACTCAGTTCTAAACCTGCTCCCCCCTTATTTTGAGGCAATGCCCCCTAGCTCTAGTTTCACCTGCCAGTGGAAACAACTTTCCTGCTTCTATCTTATCTATTCCCTTCATAATTGTATGTGTTTCTATAAGAGCCCACCTCATGCTTCTAAATTCCAATGAACTTAGTCCCAGTCTACTCAATCCAAACTAACTCTCTTAATTCCGGAATCAACCAAGTGAACCTCCCCTGCACCCCCTCCAGTGCCAATAAATCCTTTCTCAAGTAAGGAGACCAAAACTGTACCCAGTACACCAAGAGTGGCCTCACCAGCTCCCTGTATAGCTGTAACATAGCTGGACATACAGAGAACCATAAGGTACCATGCAGCAATCCCAAGTCTCAGACGCAATCCAGAGGAATGGTTCCACAGTGTGTAAGTTTGAAAAAAGGAGCAAAAGCAAGGTGAGGCCTACATTCTTCACACAGCAAATAGCCAGTGGATGGAACTGTACTGGAGGCAGGTTCAACTGTGACATTCAATAGGCCATTGGATAGTCATTTAAACTGAAACAGCATGCAGGGATATAGGGAGAAGGTAAAGTAGATTGACACTATGTTAAAATGGTGAGAGAACTGATGCTGACACAATGGGCTGAGTGTCCTTCCTCTGTGTCAGATCAATTCTGTGATTCTGCGGTAAATAGTGAATGTGTGACCTGATCTCCTGATTTCCAGCATGTTATCCCAGTGAGGAGGGAAGGTTTTAGTTCACATTTCTCAGCATTTGCAGCATTTTGCCTCTTAGCAGAGCCTCGAGCTAGCTGTGCCTTTTCCCCATAGCGCTGCAGCCTATTTCTATCCAAATAACCACCAAGTGCCCCTCTTCAAGGCACCAATTGAACCTGTCTCCCTCATGTTTCCAGGCAGTGCATTCCACACCCTAACTACTCACTGTGAGAATTCATTTTGTTTTGTCCTTGCATCATTATTGCTCTATTTGCAGATTACTTTAAATCAATACCTTCTCACTCTTGTTTCTTTTATAAGTGGAAGCAGCTTTAGATGCTCAGTGTGTACTATCTACAAGATGCACTGCAGAAATTCACCAAATATCCTCAGGCAGCACCTTCCAAACCCACGACCACTTCCATCTAGAAGGACAAGGGCAGCAGATACATGGGAACACCACCCCCTGCAAGTTCCCCTCCGAGCTACTCACCATCCTGAATTGGAAATATATCGTCGTTCCTTCACTGTCGCTGGGTCAAAATCCTGGAATTCCCTCCCTAAGAGCATTGTGGGTCAACCCACAGCACATGGACTGCAGTGGTTCAAGAAGGCAGCTCACCCCCACCTTCTCAAGGGGCAAATGGATGACAGATATTGAGTTTGTCAGTGGTGCTCCCATCCTGTGAAAAGGGTGAGACATGTATAGCCAAGCTGAGGAAGGTTCATCCATCTCACCATCATGCTCTGCTCCAGTCAGTGGGTCCTGGCTCTGGGTTAGTCATGAAATTTGAGAGCTCGGAGTCAGGGAGATGCCTTATCAGACAGACAATGACAGCTCATTCAATCTTAATGCTCCTGGGGCTATTGTACCCACTTCCAATTAGCAGGCAGATCATTCCCGCAGGATCTGGGACATGTCGGAATGTTCCTAAAATCAGTATTTGTCCTGGTCGATCATTCAGACCATTCCACTGAAAGGATCGCCATGCTGTCGCTTGGTAAGGAGGGGATTGGAACATTGAGTCTCTCTCTGTCTCTCGAGCTGGCTTGCAATCATTGAACCATTACCGTTATTGGCTGTGAATAAATTATTTGAAATCACTGGCCTCCACCACAATACCTTGGTCAGCATCAAGACAAGCATTTGCCTCAGAATTTCAGCCTGAGGTGAAACATTTCTGACCCATTGCCCTTGAACTTGCCCGGCCATTTTAAAGGGCAGTGGGGAGTCAGCCACGTTGCTGTGGGTCTGGAGTCACATGTAGGCCAGACCAGGTAAGGATGGCAGCTTCCTTCCCTAAAGGT